TTTTAATACCCGTTTTGAAAATGAAAATCCACTGACCAAAAGATACACTGACCGTTCATAAATGAGTTGTATGATGACTGTCTCTCTGTGACCAAAGGCTGCAGAGATAATTCATGTGGCTTTTGGCCAAATAAGTCTCTTTTACTGAATACATGTCGGCTACTGCCTCCACTTCACCTCTATTTCACTCAATAAAAAGCTAAATAAGATAAATTTCATTCCATTAGTGTGTTGTGTGATTGTTGTTCTGTGAGTAGAAAGTTTTTTTTGTCCTGAGTTTTCCATCCATTCATTTTCTGTACACGCTTCTTCCTTTTCAGGGTTGCGTGGGTCACTGGTGCCCATATCTAGCAGTCACAGTGCGAGAGCAGGGTACACCCTGGACAGGTCGCAAGTCCATCACAGGGCCAGTCCTGAGTTTTCCCATCCTGAAATTCAAAATCTGTAGTCTACTTTTTTCTCAGTTTGCATCCTCTGAGTTTTCCTTTCAGCGAAGGGTGGGCGATACTACGACTTCGATATTGATCTGATACCAAATAAATACTTGGCAAATATATTTGCTACCGAAGTCATCATCAATGCTTTTTACTTGTAATGTGATGTTCAATGAATAACTTTGATATTGCAGGCACCCCTCCTGGTGGTGAAACAGATTATTGTAGGGAGACAGTACGACCTGTCATGGATTATGAACAAACAAGCCTTTTTTCGTTTCTGAAACTAATTTTCTTTTATGCTATCTGAAACAGAAAATGAAACTCAAATCATTTAAAAAATTTTGCTCATCCCCTTTTGACATTAAAAATGAGAAACACTTTGTGTTTGAATTTTAAAACAAATATCAAATATCCACTCAATTCTTGTTTTTTAATACCCGTTTCTAAAATGAAAAACCAATGACCAAAAGATACACTGACCAATGTATCATGTTTTTGATCTGAGTTTGTTTTACAGAATGAAATGTCTGAATGAGTGCTCATCCAAGACAGGTGATTCCATACTTTTTGCCAGGGGTTGTGTCTGTTTAACAGTGAGAGTTTCTGTGACAGGAGAAGACTTCAAACATCAAACTCNATAGCCTGAAGTCTGTAATTTTGACACAATTTGGAACAGGTTTGTATGAAGAGCAAATCTTTCCCACTAAACTGGTCATGTGACTAGGACATATGGGTGTTTAGGAACCCCAGGGGATTAATCGTCAAATTAATCGTTAGCGGCTAAATACCACAATTAATTGTGGTTAAGTTTTTTGCCAATATTCCCCAACCCTATGATAAACAGCATGTCATGAAAACCTAGGCCATTAAAGTATGTCATGAATTACTGGCTTAAACCTAAAAGTATTAGTTCCACCACAAAGCCTATTTTTATATGTATGGTGATTCTTCTACTAACAGCAAATTTACATTTGTGTTTCAAGAGGAGAACAGTAGATTAACATTACGTTTCTGTGAATTTACGTATACGGACAACCTAAAGCGCTGCTCTCCTGATGTTACCTTGTATGCTCCAGGTCTGCTCTCTTTATGTTTGGACACACTGTTCTCATGGATGGTCTCTGTGAAGGCCGGCCATGGAGATGAATGTTCATACTTGGAACGGCTGGAGAAAAGCTGATTGTCACATTTGGAACAAACATAGATCCCTGAAAATTAAAAGGATGATTGCTGATAATGAGTTATCCAAGTTTTAACCAGAATGATTTTGAAATAATTAAATCATTTAGATGTGAACAAAAGTTTGTTTTAATCTGTTAAATTATTCATTCGTATGTTCCTGTACATGACAGCCTAACTTCTGCATTTATTGTGAAAACAATCCAGTGTTGTGTAACCTGAAGGCTGGTTACGAAAGGTTACGAGCTATTATTAAAACTAACTATTTTTTATTATTAACTTAACTATTTTTAAAAGGTTTTAGACGTGGATAACAGCGCATGGATAACAGTGCAAACGTTTTGACTGAATTAATCTCCACACCCACTAAAAAGTCCGTTCATATTATTTGTTTAGCATAAGTTAGCTAACTAGTTAGCTCAAACTAAATAAAAAGYACCAAATGTGTAGAAATTTGAAAGACGTCRAGATACGTTAATGTTACAAATATACCTGGTTTAAAGTGGTCTTTATAGACCTCGCCACCGAAGAAAGAACAAAACGACATCGCTTCGACGGAGTTATTGGTTTCGGTCACATCAGCCGGTCCGGATGTAAACAAAAAGTCAGCGAGAAGACGTTTTCCGGTTGGATCCGAACTTCAAAAATAAAACCGGAAGTTTAAAATAACAATCAATTTTTTTCTAATAATTGTCTTTAACAG